ATAAATCCTGTCAAATTTCAACATTCCTAATAAGTATGTCTTTAAAAGAGTAAATCTCTCCAAATAACTTACTTCTTGATAAATTGATATGAACGGTATACCTGAAGAACAGAAAGCAAATTGAGAAATTACACCAAAATGGATGCTCAGTTCAGCCGAAAGTGTTGAAGACCGCAGGAGATTCCCATGGATGTCATGTATACTATTATCTATTATTGATATTTAAAAAGTTATAAAAAACAAAAATGTATTTCATTTCCAGTTGGTGGAACTTTTTATTAACTTATTCAGTTGATACATATGAATTTAAATGTTGCGACAGGGAGTGCTACATGTGTTTGTTTCATAGGCAATAATTCCTAATGAGTAACACCACGTGACATTTCCCAATATCTCTTCAGTCAAAAGACCATCCATATCGTTCTGTTGAGACTTTGAATTCAAAACCAAATGATGATGGTCAGAAAATGCTCGGGTGAAGTGGCAGACAAAAAGACTACCTCAAAATTATTTATTTTGGTACTCTATTAGTAATAAATTTACTTGAAATCACTTCAATATAGACTGCTGAATTTATTTTTTCACTTGGTGATATTCATAGTGGTGTTTCTGACTGAAAAAAATGAATAACAATTTTTCTTTCAAGCATTGTTAAACTTATTCAAGAAATGTATTTCCAAAATATAGTGGGGCAAAGGTGAATTTTTAAAGAATTGGATTATAATGAATGAAATGCTTCAGGCAGTTCTGAAACAGAAAATTATCCAACAAGGTTACCATAATTTGAACACTTTCATGTAATGAGATTTTTTTTCATCAACAATTCAATTGTGAGGGTAAAATTCAAATTACTTTTGCAAAATCAAAGTATCTATTTAAAAATTACAAAAATCAGTGAAAATAGTGATAGTGATATTGAGAATTATAACAAGAAATTCAATAAATAATTAAACATTAAGTTATGACTTTGTTATGGCATTTTTATTCTTCTGATCGACAGTCGGTTTGAATTTATTCCTAAGAATATCATTAACCCCTTCCTTATTCCTGGCAATTTCTAAGGCATAAAATTGTATCCTTGTAACGAGGATAGTATTTTCTTCTTTATAGTCTTCTCTTGCATCTGCACGTAGTAGTGTTCCGAAGCTATAGTCTTCTACAAGTCCTTTGAATCTTTCACAATATGGCCTCCACTTTGCTTTTTCCTTAGTACTTTTCAGTTCATTTTCAACAATTACTGTTATGTTTAAGTCAGGAAATTCTTCTCTGAAAATTTTGTAAATCAGATCATCTAATGGTGTGAGTTTCAGATGTTTGGGATCTGCAGAACATAATATCTGAAACAAAAATCAAAACCTGTTCCCTCTTGAAATATTTTTTTTTTTGGAAAAAATTTTTACATTTATTGAGTGGAAGTTATTTATTTATGCTGAGTAACCTTTACCCTTTCAAAGATTGATAAAAATATACAATGTTGAGATTTTTAAATAATAATAATGATAATATTCATTTGCAGAACTAGAAATATTATTCAACGAAAGTCATTTTTTGTGGAGGAAATATTACAAATGTAATTAATACATAGAATTGAAAACAAATAGGTGAATTATTTGTTTTAAGTAACAAATTAAATTAAAAATGTTTTACAGGAATGTAGGCGTTGCAGTTGAAACGTTTGGAGATTATAAGCTAAGAATTCTTGAGTAATTAAATTCCTCTGGGCAAATAAAACTCGTCTGGCACCTCTTAATTGAACTCCTAAACAAGTTAAATTAATCCAAAAAAAAAGCATTTTTCCGAATCTCCAGAAATGTGATACTCTTCACGACGTGCCTTTCACCAACAAGGTTTCAGGAGATGAAGGCGCCAAGTTTTTAGGTGAAACGCGCGTCGTGAAGAGTATTCCATTTATAATGATTGGGAAAGGTGCTTGTTTTGGATTTATTCTACACCAGAGCAAGTTTTCTGCTTAACTAAAGACCTTCTATATTGAGTGTTACAGTAAGAAATTGGAATGGAGTTTCTGTATCTGGATAGATACTGTAAGATTTAAAATAAATCAATTTTAGGAAACGACGTTGAACTTTTTCAATTAATGTAGTGTAGCAGTTGTAGAATGGATACCATACAATAGAGCCTTATTCTACAACCGTGAACTAAAATGCCATAAATATTTAACTGATAACGCTTTTTACTCTATAAAGGAATATATGGATCATGCGCCTGCCCTGTTACCTGTGAAATGAGAGACCAGTTCAGCATTGAGATCACTTCACATCAAGATCACTTACACTGTATTGTCGCAAATTTTCCTTCTCTTCTTGAAATGTTTTGATGCTTTTATTTAAATATTATTTTGACACTGACAAAGTTTTATTATTGTGTATATTTTAATAACATAGTTTTAATATCTGTATTGTATCTGTATTGTATTATTGTGTTTTTTTTATATACACTATGACGAAATTGACGAATCTTATTTGTGCTTTCTAAATGAACGATGAATGTACACCTAAAAGCTTAATAAACTAGCTATCTATCTATCTATCTACTTTACATTTGAATGCATTAAGATACAGCTTGTTGACTTCACACCACGTGTGTATATGTTTTAATTGTAGTTGCAAAAAACTATAATCTTCGATATTTTTAAATCATCTGCAAAAAACAACTTATCACAATCGGCATAATTACTGAGATCATTAATAAAGAACAAGAATAGAAGTGGTCCGAGATTCTATTCCTGACGTACTTCAGATAAAGGATTGTAATAAAAAAAATGGCCGTTATATGATACAATCTGTTCGCGTTGAAATAAGTAGGACTTATGGAAAAGTACTGTTGAATCATGGAAACCAAATTGTTGGAGTTTTTATAGAAGAATCATGTGATCAACTTGATCAAGACATCACTAACATTTTGAGTCAGTGCGATTACATTTTTGTGAAAGAAAGGTTTTAGCTTTCTACTTCTCCATCTTCATACAAAAATCTTCCAAAGGAAGCCAAACCCTTTCTTTCACAAAAATTGATATCTTCTAAAAATATACCCATTCCAATTCAAACGATTGAATTTGTTATGGTAGATTTGTTAGACATAGACCCATGTTGTTGCAGTGATATGATATTACGAACTGAGTAATGTATGCGATTATAGATGACACTTTCAAGAAGTCTAGCAAAGTTTGAGAAGAACGATAATTTCAAATATCAGATGGATTTCCAAACTTAAGAATGCAACAAATTCATGACATCTTTCATGAATCAGGATAGGATAGACCAAGACACTGATGCAATCTTTCATCGAAGCACTTACAGGTAAATTCCTGACAGTTCACATCATTGTGGATAGCACAAACGTGCTGGGCTGAATTTTCTAGTCTTTTAACTTTTCCTCTCACACATGAGAGGTCCACAAAACAAAAACAAACAATACGAAAATAGCAGTCAGTAACGGTTTCTCGGGGGATATTGTAAATGATATTATAAGGAAGAAAACGTTTAGGTAAAAAATGAACAAAATCTCGACTTTAAGAAATGACGAAATCCAAAATAAATATATCTAAGTTCCATACCACCAATACACGAAGAACTTTGGAAAGATTTTCAAGGAACTAGATATGAAGGTGGTATTTAAAACAAGTCATACACTGCAGAAGAATTCCTTAGGAATTCTAAAGGACAAAGTCGAGAATTTGGATTAGGCCTAAAATTTACTAAATTAAAAATATAAGGACTGCCATGCAAAATATTATGGACAGACTAAAAGATCTGATATTATAAGATATAAGGAGCACTTAGCACACCATATTTTGCAAAAAAACCATTCCATAGACTTTAGTTCATTAAGACTGGTTAGACAAGTTAACAACAACAGACATCTAGATCCCTACGAGAGTGTAGAAATAAGCAAACATAATAATATTATGAATAACGATGGTGGATCAATACCTAATAGTATACTATATAGCTTGTTGAAATAATATTTTAATTATCAGATTTACTTTACTATAAAATAAGGCCACATTGTAAAATTAATTTAATAAGTTAAGATGCAGGTACCTAGCAGAGGTTTCATGGAAACTAACGCATTGTATAATTCAGGATAAATAGCTCCTTTGAAATTATAATTCTTTGGTTATCATTTGAGCTGAAACTAGTTTCGCTAATCAAAATATCATTAAACTCAATAATTGAAGCTGGATGATTGGGCATATCTTCAGGAACCAGTATTTTACAAGCTCCAGTTGAACTAATGATGAAGCTCATAATTCAGATTCTAAACCAGTCTGATGAAAGTACCAGCCCTAGGTTGAGAGACAGAAACAAAGTGATAAAGCCAAGCAGACAAGAAATAATTCCAATTTGTTTTTAACATCTGGTTTTTCTGGAAAAAATAAATGATCTGAAACTTGGTGTAGTCATTTTTGAAACGAACAAAATATCTGCTACCATCTACATAATTTTTTGGAAATTCATTTCGTGTTCATGATGAAAAAAAAATGTAATACAAATTATGAAACAAAAATTAATTGGCGCTCCGGGGCGACTTGATTGATCCCAGTGGCACATTTGCTTTTTCAGCTGCAGGAAAACCCAGAAAAACCTGCAGCACCACATCATCTGAAGATCTTGATCTGCCAATGTTCCCTCTTTCAATGGCATTTGTTCTCTAATTGAAACTTAAACAATGTGTTTTGCTATACAAACACAGAAACTTTTTGACAGGTCATTCATTTTCATCTCGAAGTTTTTCATGGCAGATTTGAAGTATGTCACCACCAAAAATGTGTGCTTCCACAAAGTGCTCCGAAGTTTTAACACAAATGTGCATCAAATAAAAAGCAATTCTTTGAGTACCACTTGCAACAATACAGTTTTCTCTGTTAATTTTGCACTTATTTCCAATGAGGTTTCATATCATTCCCTTGTCAACGACAGACGGAAGTTTTCATAAGACATGAACCAGCTTTTGTATTCTTTGAAAGACATTTTGTTGAGGAGTCAATGTTTCTCACTGTTTTTTGGGTATGTAACTTTCCACAATCTGAAAAATTAAGCTAAATCAATAGAGCTGAAGTGTAAGGAAGTACACCCTGAAAAGTTAATTGTAATATAAACTTCTGAAGAGTCCAATTAGACAGTAACATTGATAAATTTTACCAACAAATTGAATAATCAATGTAAAAAATGAAATTTCTATACTTACCTTTCTTTTTGAAAGGTTTATGTTTCAGAAAACTATCCTTTTCCATTCTCAAAACCCAATAAACTCACTTGAGAGGAATGCCTCAGTCATTAAGAACATTCTCTGAAACATTAACCATCTATAGAAAGCAAAGTATAAAAACTCAATTTCTCAATTAATTTTTCAGTTTGTTGGCTAAATTTATGAATGCAAATTACTGACTAACTGGAGTCTTTAGTGGTTTATATTACAAAGATATTTTTTGGGTGACATTTCCAGTCTTCAACAGATTCAGTTCTGTTTATTTATGAAATTATGGAAGATTATTACCAAAAAACACTAGGAAACCAATTCCGTGTTTCATCATGTGGTACTGTTGTCGACAATGCATGTAACATCTGAACTCAACTCACACAGAAAATTTTCATTGATAATGAAGGGGGATTTATCAGAAGTTCTTGTTGTATCATCATTCTTTGTTCTAACTTTCCTGCAGCTTTTCTTGAAATGTCTGTTTTTACCGCAAGTTCATTTTTGTTTCAGACTTGTTACTCTTTGCTGTTTCAGCTGAAACTGGTATCTTTAGAACGTTTCTTGCAACAAATGCTATGGTACCATTGATTCGCCACCATTTCGATCTTGCGGACGTTTCAGTATAATCCTTTCCACTGATCCAAAAAACTGACTGAATAGCCTATCTATCTATCTCACCTCTGTTGAGTTCGCTGCTTGTAGATGCTGTGCAGTTTTTCCCAGATATCTTTCAAAGAGTTAAACATTTGATAACTTTTTTGCTGCACAGTATAAAAAATACAACCTCAACTACTGGCTGATAATAAAAATTTCCATGAAAATCTGAATGTTCTGAATTAATTAGATGATTTTTTTCTACTTTTATATTTGCTAAAAAATTGTAGCAGTATCACTTACATTGAAATATATTTCTGCATGTTCAAAAGCCTTGATGGCCCACATTGTTTCTACAGATTGGTCATTTTCGAATTCCTCAGCGGGACGTGATAATATATCCTGCAAATAAAATGTGCTGTAGATAAAAATATTACAATTTTAAACAATCTTACCATTTTGAAAATGAAATAATATTAGAATATAACAACAGTAACAATAGAAACAAGAAACCGAAATATTTATTACAAAGACATTCTTAACCTGTCTTTGGTATGTATATAGATTGAAAAGAATACAAACAAATCTATTCTAAAATAACAATGGGTCATCAATTGCTTTCTCTTATTTTTGATTGGCTGAGAACTGTCATTCCGAAAATTAAGGCGTTTTCTGTGCTCATGTATTCAAAATGTATTCATCTGTGATTCAAATACATTCATTCTGTCTTTGAAACGATGNCTATACAAAAATTTCACATTTCTAATAAATTGTAAAATAAACGTTGCATATCGGTCTATGCACTGAAATGAGTAGAATTTGTAAGAAAGTGTGAGCATATGAAAAGCATATGAAGAAGGATATCGAATCGATGCAATATGATTTGAAAAAAAGAACTCGATAAGCATTCAAACAATTGAGCAAAAACCAAAAACGATGGTGAGCGATGGTCATCTGTAAAAAAATCAGTAGGTATAAAGCCGGAGCTGAAGAAATTGTGTCTCAGTATTTATTACTTTCTAACGCTGAGCAGATGATAATCATTGATGAAGCTATAAACTTGATGTGAATAAACAAGATAGGTATCTTTTAATACTCTTGACAACCATTAAAAATGTGAGTTTTAATGAGAGTTGTACACATTTTTTTGGTGGAAATTACTGAAGCTATTAATATGGTGGCACATTGCATTCTAGTATTTCTTTGTTGTTCTTTGAACAGCACTTCTAGTATACTCTTCACTAACTATTGTACGGTTCTCAATTTCTTGATGTTGAGTAATAATGAATTTTCATTTGTGAGTCATAAATAATCATTAAGGCGCGATGGAAGTTCAACAGGGCGGCTGATATTCTCAAGTCAGTTATGTTGGGTGGTCGATAAAGTGTTAAGTGTTTGACCTGTTTGATCGGGTCCTCAGAGTAATAATAAGACATAGAGTTGCCATGCCTATACCAATACAATACATGTATTTTGAAGCTGGTATCGTACTATCCTTTTCTGTACAATATATGGCGAGGGGGGTGGCGGGTAATAAGGGGTTATAAAGAGTTTGTTTACATTTGAAGTGAGTTGGACCATGAAACAGTGGCGGTTGGTTTAGTTGATAATCGGAGGGATATTAGGTATATTTTTATAAAATAAATCATTTCAGGTGAAAATGTATTCTGTTTAAATAGTACCTACAAGAAATCTGATTTTTATTAATGATTACGAAAATGAGACGCGTGATTTATTGGGTTAAAATTAAATTATTTCAAATGAACTAATTCATAACAATGATAAATGTTAATTTTATGATCAACAGATTAAAAAGCTTTCTGTTCAATGTTCAGTTTGTATACTAAATAGTTATTCTTGTGCAACCGGTATTGAATCTGTTATTGCTCACTTAACAACTAACTTACATCACACAAAGATTATGATTTTCGTTTTGGTTTTATTTTCTTTGCACGAGGCTCTCGCGTTGCATACAGACAATATTCAATAAGAAATGACGGTTGTCATTTTTTTAACCTTTTTCTGGTTGGGATGTGTCAAATAATGAAATAATATAAACCTAGTTTCAAAAACTTTATTTATAAGAATAAGATCAAAAAAATGATCATTAAAAACATTAAAAATATCCCCTTTCATAATGTCAGTTCACAAAGACCCCTAGATACCAATTTTGAATGAAATCGTGATTTCTTATCGAAAATTCTTCATATCGGACCTCACAAACCGTACCGCTTGTTTATAAAATCTGAGAATAAATCACAAATTTCTTCATCTGATTATATGAGGCAAAGTTCATTACTTTTGAAATTAACATTTTTCATTGTTATGAACTATTTCATATGAAATAATTTAATTTTAACCCAGTAAACCACGCGCTTCATTATAAAGCCATACATAAATAAAAATCTAGTAGGTGGTAGAAAAACTGGCCTCATTTCCATAATCATTAATTATAAATCAGATTTCGTGTAGGAACTATTTGAACAGAATACATTTTCACCTGAAATGATTTATTTTATAAATATATACTATCCCTCCGAATATCAACTAAACCAACCGCCACTGTTTTATGGTCCAACTTACTTTCCGTAAACAAAGTTATGCTGCCTTCAATGTAAGGATGAAAAAGGCCTCCCTATTGTCTTTTATTATTCTGAGATCGGGATTATTTTGCAGGTCAGCAAATTGTTCTCAGTAAACATTGCTCACGTAAATCTCGACCAGGTTAATCATTTTCGACAGAAAATTTTTCCAACCCCCACCCAAAAATTTCACAATTCTCAAAAAATTGAAAATACATTTTGCAGGTCGGTAGAAATTCTTGCAGGTCGGGACTCCCAAACATGAATCTCGACCAGGTTAATCATTAACCACAGAAAAAATCCCCCCCCCCAAATTTCACAGTTCTCAAAAAAATTCACAATTCTCAAAAAATTGTCGGCCGGTCGGTAGAAATTCTTGCAGGTCGGGACTCCCAAACATGAATCTCGACCACTTTAATCATTTTCGACAGAAAAATGTTCCAACCCCCACCCAAAATTTCACTCTTGAAAATACATTTTGCAGATCGGCGGAAATTCTTGCAGGTCGGATCTTCCAGAGATAAATCTCGACCAGGTTAATCATTTTCCACAAAAAAATCCAACCCCACCCTTTGAGTGTGGAAAAATGTCACAACTTTCATGAAATCGAAAATAAACTTTGCAGGTTGGCAGAAATTCTTGCAGGTCTGGTTTCCCAGATATGAATCTCATTTTCGTAAAAAAAATTGCAACCCCCAGTCTATGAGTATGGAAAAATTTCACAATTCTCATGAAATTGAAAATAAATCTTGCAGGTCAGGTCTCCCATAGACGTGAATCTCGACCAGGTGAATTATTTTCGAAAGAAAAATTTCCCAACCCACACCCATAGTTTAAAAATTCTTAAAATATTCAAAATACATTTTGCAGGTTGGACAGACATTCTTGCAGGTCGGGTCTGCCATACATGAATCTCAACCAGGTTAATCATTTTTGACAGAAAAATTCCCATCTCCCACCCCCTGAGTATGAAAAAAATTACATTTCTCATAAAAATTAAAATAAACCCTGTATGTCGGCGTAATCTCTTGCAGGTTCGGATTTTTATTAAAATTGAAAATAAACTCGAATAGATCAATCATTTTCGAATAATGAAGTCCACGTTTTATCCTCTGGCTACCTATACAAAAATTTCACATTTCTAATAAATTGTAAAATAAACGTTGCATATCGGTCTATGCACTGAAATGAGTAGAATTTGTAAGAAAGTGTGAGCATATGAAAAGCATATGAAGAAGGATATCGAATCGATGCAATATGATTTGAAAAAGAGAACTCGATAAGCATTCAAACAATTGAGCAAAAACCAAAAACGATGGTGAGCGATGGTCATCTGTAAAAAAATCAGTAGGTATAAAGCCGGAGCTGAAGAAATTGTGTCTCAGTATTTATTACTTTCTAACGCTGAGCAGATGATAATCATTGATGAAGCTATAAACTTGATGTGAATAAACAAGATAGGTATATTGGATTCCGTCAGCCATGTATTCGGCGGAAAATTACCTTTGAAGTATCTCAAGGGGTTTGCTGAAGATTACAATGAGGGAATATTGAATGTTACGCAGAAGCTCATTCTGATTATAGCATGTTCATTCAAAAATTCATTCATTGGGGTAGTCGATGCAGAATTGGAAATAAGTAAAATAAAATGTAGAATCAGACACATTGTGCCGGAAGATCATCAGAAACTGAAACTATTGAATCGCATCAATAAAAATGGTAATAATGCTATAGTAAAGGCAACCTATCGTATGTGGGACCTCTATGAGTTACTCACACTTCGTGATACATCCTCAGATATATGGGCCGTGAAGACAACCAATAATAGTCTGGAAAGACCTCGATACATTATCATCGGCTTCCAAAACACCGACCAATCCGAGAGTATGACAAAGGATGTGACAAAATTCATACATGCGAGTATTAATAGTATTCGTCTTTGAACTCTGAATTATACCCATATGAGCGCTGGAATCTGGATTTCGATAAAAAGTTAGACTCATCAGCCTACTATGCTACTATGATAGAGCTATGAGTGAACCAATGATGTATATTGGCAGCTTTCGCAATAACCCACTATTCATTATCGACTGCTCCCACCAACAAGATGCTATGAAGTTATCCACTGTTGACATCAAAAGGGATTCTGAAACGCGCAAAAACAAGTTTCCAGCACACATCAAAGTATACCTATATGCACTCATCCTTCACGATGCTGTTTTGTCTTGTCCTTAATGGCTCTATTCGAATTGAATTATGTATGATAAGATTATATGTGAATGCTTGATATTGATAAATAAAACAATCAATACTTGTTAATTGTTATGCCTTTTATTAATCTCCAAATAGATATATACGCCAGTAATGTTTCCTCATCTGTGAGGGCTGAAATAAAAGAAGTTGTTACTATTTGAAGGGCCCTACAGGATCAAAAAAGACTTAGTGCACACTCGTATGTCCTGTTGCAAGAAGATGGAAAAGAAATGGGAACAATCCATGCTACTCACTTTGAAAAGCGAAAAGCGTATTACCTATTCTGGTTAATGCTTGATTTTCTGTTTAGGTTTTTCTCTTCGCAGAAAGCCAACTGGTAGGGGGTGAAAGATGAAACGAAACCATTTTCTTTTCCTTGCGCGTTGTTCGTATTTACGGGAATTATTTGTTGTGGTATAAATGTCCTTCTTTTGTCGGTTGGAGCGCCATTGTTTGGCATTCAATAAGTATTTCATTTTGCGTTACCACTATCAAGCAATAGGCAACTTGCATTCAGTTCGTGTGGTATTGTTGGTTGCGTACCCAAAAGGCCAGTATTGGTAAAGAAACTACGTTTGACGTGGATCCGGAGCATTCCATTGGAAGGACTACAAAAACACGATCACAATTTTTGTAATCTTATGCGAAATAAAACTCAGGTTGCTAGTGAGACTTAATTCGTTGACATCCACACTTTTCCAATTACTACAATGCGTAACAGCTAAATTCGGATCCACAGCTGAACTGTTTCATTTGCTCCTAATTTGCACTAATGCTTTTTTTCATACACAAAACATTTACTTTAACTTTAAATAAGTTTTTTCTTATTAGTCAGTGGGCTATGCTTGAAGATAGGCAGTTAACAAATCTAAAGAATTGAACTTTGAATGTTCAAGCCCGTATCGGATATACCTACCTATACAGTAGGTTGAATGGACTGACGCCTATCAGAAAACAACTACTCCACTGGCTAATACCACGAACGGCGTTGGATTATATCCGACAGGCGTCAGTGCAGAAATCTTCACAGAAAATTTCCTGCATATGCAATTGGCAATACAACTGAAAGAGTCGACCTTCAATTTTGCAAGTGGGCCGTTCCAAAATTGAAGGTCGACTCTTTCAGTTGTATTGTAATTGCATATGCAGGAAATTTTCTGTGAAGATTCCTGCACTGACGCCTGTTGGATATAATCCAACGCCGTTCGTGGTATTAGCCAGTGGAGTAGTTGTTTTCCGATAAGCGTCAGTCCATTCAACCTACTGTGTAGGTATATCCGAGACGGGCTTGAACATTTAAAGTTCATTTCTTTAAATTTTAAATAAGTTGTCACAATGTAAATAAGGACGTTCACACATCACACTTTGAAGTGAAAGTGTAGCGTATGAACGCTCCCATTGGTTTACATTGAGGCAACTTTCTTAAAGTATAAGTTAGGTGTATGAACCAGCAACAATATGGATATGTTTTATTTATTTCAATCATCCTATGACTACTTGAAACGTGCCTTTTGGAAAATGACATCAAGAGAAAAAATAGATATCCTGGGCCCTATACTGCAGCACTGGGCCGGCTTTGGATAATATTCATCTAGCGATTTTTTGTGGCACATCATGCCACTAACCAAACACAAACAAACAGGATCGCTGGAATATGGAATTTTCTATGACAATTGTTTTAAGAAACAGGAAACCTATTTAGATACGATACTTCTTACTAAGGTTCAACTAAAACGTAAATGAGAATTCTGAAAAAGGGGTTGGTTGGGTAACAGGATCAATTTAAAAAAAACCAAATGTACCTATTCTTGCCGACGTTTCGAATTTAATTAAATTCGTCTTCAGGGCTTGAAAAATAGTCGGCAAGAATACATTTGTTTTCTAAGAAAAAATTGATCCTGTTACCCAACCAACCCTTTTTCAGAAGAATTATTGGATCACTAAACTAGTTTACTGAATAAATGTGAACATTTGTTGAAGAAATAATTTTATTGAATACAAATTTTCAAGCAGGTAGTGTAGTTCTATTCGAGTAATTTGTTGGTTCTTCCAGTGGGGCAGAGGGCTGAACTCTCTGATAAGTTCCCCGAACTGTAACAACTTCCGTATTTTTTTTCCGACGAATCATCAAAGTAGTAATTACAACGATACCCAAAAGTATCAATAAAAAAATAAGAATCATCAGAATTATCCTAGAAAGGCGCTCGTCTGATAATATGAACCTAACACAAACTCCTGCAATCACTATCACAACTATTATTATTACTGTCACGATTACTATCCACAAGCCCACCTTATCTGCAAATAAAAAATGTTTTCTCATATTTCCTAACAATACACACTTCTTACCTATAGTTACAGTTGTGGTAGTAGTAGAATTGGTAGTTACATTTTTTTTGTCACTTTTTTCTATTGTAACTCCCATGTTGAATATCACTCTTGTTACCTATGACATCATGCTGAGTTATCTACACTTTTAGAAATTGTAAAAGCATACATTGGAATAGAGTAAATAACTACAAGATAAGATATATTATCCATATCTAATCATACAAATACAAGTATTTTTTAATCCAATGAGCACATAAATCCGCCACGTTCATTTTTTGACACAGCCGTCTGATAAATGTTTGAACTACATATGTCTACTGGTTCACCTTGCATGTCATGTTAGAGATATCAAAATATGCAACGATGTTTTGATAGCCTTATAAGCTATAATATCATTTGCAAAATAATTATAGTTTATATATAGTCTATTAGATATAAATGTTTTTTATTTTGTTTGATAGCAAAACACAAGGAATATTAAGTTAATTTATAGTGAATGTGAATTCTATCAAAGATCTTGTTCTTCAAATATGAAACTGTTAACTCAACAATGTGAAAGTCTGGTGAAATCATTTTTATGAGAAACTTTATGAAGATAATATTAAACTTTTCGACTGTTGACCTTGGAATAATTGATAACTTTGAGTGCAAGAATTTGATCCACCTGATTTTTACATTTATTCCAAGTCTGCTGAAAACACTACAGCCTCATCACATTATTGTGTTTTTCCTTCTATCTCACCATGACACCCATTCCATGAAACTTATTTCCTGCATTAATTGCTCAGGTTCTTTACCAGAGTTTGTTATATTCTTATGAACATGATTTGGGTGTGATCTGATGCCTCATATTCGCATAAAACATGACGATATATTTCTGTCCCTTTGTTGTTGGCCGCAGTCACTATTAGATAAAAAACAAAATCCGGGCTGGTAGGCGTTGGTCGAATTGAACGTGTATCCAACTTTTCGTCTGCTACTGCAGCAGACATCATCAGTGAAATATGCGTTGACTGCGTGGACGAAGATTATATCTCGTAGTCTCAGTAACGACTGACTGACTCGATGTTTAACTCAGTCATCACTTACAGAGTCAATGTATTCCGGTTCGCCATTTTACATTTCACCTCTCCCACATGTATTTACCAAGCAAGTAACTGTAATATAGATTTCTGACCTTACAGTATTCCCAGCTCGTATCCATTTGGATTGAGACCCTTTTATAAATCAGGTATTTGTTTCTAAGAACCATATTTTCACTATGACCCTTCACGGTTTATGATTTTTTAACCGTGAAGTGAAAAATATTTTGATGTCATACGGCCTGTGATTTTTTCTGATGTTGATTCCTCTACATATCCCGTCATTTAATTTTTGCCTGAACCCTTGTAGCACGGTCAATTTTCCAGTCGTAATTGGCCCACTCTTGCCTTCCTCAATTTCACGAGATATAAAGTGATTTTTTTCTAGAATACCTCCAATGATGCTAGTGGAATAGTTTTCACTACTCTCGTTATTCCCAAACAAGCAAGCGTTTGTATCCTGCATAGTTTGATGGTATAGAGGTTAGTAGATATTTAACCTCTCCCGAAAGTTATATATCTTTCTCTTCTCCTCGGAGTTGTATAGATCCTAGTTTACGCTCAATTTTACCTTCTCCAAATCTACCACTTTCTTTGAGACCAACCAAATCCTCCTTGGACGCCTCCAGTTTTGAATTGTCCAAATCTTCGTTGTTACATTTATGATTTCTGACCAGAAAAACTGCATTTGGAAATGCTCTCTTATAATCTCCTTCCGTTATTGTGGCAGTAACACATAGTTTCTTGTTTCATTTTCTATTCACAATGCCACCCTCAAAATATTATAAACTGATACAGAATTAATGATCTTTAGAGTATACAAGTCGATAAAATTTCGGGTAAGGGCACTGTTCGTTTAATAAAAACTAATGACTGCCCCGGCTTCGCACGGATAGCGAAGCATATATATGCCCACATTTTTCTGTTATAGTGTCACAAGAACTTGTAACTAATTCATTCAAAAGATCCAGACAAAATGCACAAATATAAGTATCTGGACTATCACTGCCAGAACACCATTATGGGCGCACAATTTCCGCAACGTCTGCATCGGTACCATATCTCCATTTTGTATCTAAACAAATTGCACCTAAATTATCATCTTCAGAATATTCTGACTGATCATAGCAAAAAGCATTTTTGTCTACTTGATCAGTAGATGAATCTTCATCATCACCTAAACATATTTTGTTGTCTTTCTGATCCTTGTGTTTCTGGCTGTTGTCTTCTTACTTTTAATCTCTTTACCTTCGGTTTATTTCTTCCTAATACATTTGCCTTTGGTACATTTTCCCTTGACACAATTTTCTTTATCACAATTTCTTTTATTTTTCCTTATTGTCTTTGTCTAATTCTCCTTTTCAGTTATTTTCCTCGTCTTTTCTTCAAATACTGCTTTCATTGAAGTGCTTGTTATTATTTCAGAGTGCTGTTTGTTCTTCAACGGTATTTGTGTTTGTGAAATGAGTTGTGGCAGTGGGCTGACAATGGAGACAGCATTAGCAAAGTCAATATTGGACGGAGTTGCGACTGACCTAACGGTGTGTGTCTCCAGAATAGCAGGCAGTTCCGGTGTTGAATATGATATGTATGGAATTGGAGCTTTCCTCTGAATCATTTCCGGTTTTAATTTGCAGACCACAAGGAATAGATGGACTTGTTGTTGTGGGGCTAGCATATAGTTGCTCAGCCTGATTTAATGTTGATGGAATAAGAGTGACATTAGTTGGCTGCTGATCTGGCTTTCTCATTAATGAAGTTATCATCACAAAAAACTTCAGGATTCATAGGGAATATACCCGTTGCTTTAAAGCTCGATATTCCTTTTTCTATAGAAGCAACTCTAGTACAGGCTTTATTAAACAGTCCAGCAATGTCGTATGGAGTAATTTTTATCAAATTTTTCTGATTTTATATACAAGTTGCACTCATTGTTATAAACTCGTTCAAGCGGGGAATAAAATGCAACTTCAAAAGGTTGTAGATGGTGAGATGAATATGGAGGAATGGTAAGCATTATGACATGGTTCTCTTTTGCCAATTCCCAAGCTTCGAGAGTAGCATGACTGTTATGATTGTCCAATATTAGCAAAATACTGGTGTTTCAGCAGCAGGTTTGGTGTGTTTAATAAAATGATGAAGCCTTAAAACAAATATCTTTTCGTTAGTCCAGCCATTTTGTGAACACGTGTACACTGCTCCCAGTAAGCCATCTTTTTCTAGCTATGGTGAGTGACGTTGCCGAGGAAATATGAAAAACGGAGGAACGAAGGATCCAGACGCACTCATAGCACATATTACTGTGACTTTCTTACCTCTTTCCCATAACGTTACAGATCCGACGCGTTTTTGTACTTTGGGAGCTATAATTTTTTCAGTCTCTTTGACGGTCTCTATACCAGTCTCGTCTACATTATAAATCATTTGAGGCTCGAAGTTATGTTGCTCCATCAATTTCTTCAAATTGTTGAAAAAAGCGTTATCTGAGTCTTGTTAAATCCGAGAATTCTATTGATACTGATAGCTCCATGCTTTTTAATACTCAAATCTAGATGACCAGGCATTTGGCAATGCCTGGTTAATGAACGCACTACTCGACGTTGGTTTGCGAAAGTTCGTTCCGGAGCCTGGTGGAGATTGTGGAGAATGACCCATCATAAACGGTGCGTGGGATGGTGCGTTTTTGATGGTTTAAAACGCATTGCAAAGGTCAAAAAGCTAGAAAACAACAGGAGAGATGTTTAGGACTGCAGTTGAACACCGATGAGCCCCCAGGCATTTCTCAAAGACGAAACCCCTCCAAAAAAATGTTTGCTGTATGGTGGTCAGCGGTTGTTGTGATTCACTGGAAGTTTCTGTAATCGGGCCAAACCATCATAGCAAAGTCCTATTGTGAGGAAATCAACGAAATATACCGAAAATTGCGTCAGCAGCGGCCGGCATTGGTCAACAGAAGAAGTCCGATCTTGCTTCACGACAATGCCCGTCCACATGCTTCACAAATCACCGTCCGAAAATTAAACGAATTGATTGTCGAAGTTCTGCCTCACCCACCATACTCCACAGACCTCTAGCCAACCGACTATCATCTTTTCAATCACTTCGACGAATGTCTCACCGGTAGAACCTCCGCCAATCAGGACCAGGCAAAAACAGCTTTCGACTTCATCGAATCCCGATCACCCAATATGTATGCTGACGGAATTACTACATTTGTGTTACGTTGGTGAAAATGCACTGATTCAAATGACGCTTATTTCGGTTAAATTGAATAAGTATTCTTATGAGATATTACAGTTTAAAGTAGACTTATGAAAACTGACCAAATGTTTTAAACAACCTAATACAACTTGATTATTTCTTTATGGAATTTTTTTTCGAATATTCATTACCAAAAAGCTATCAATATTGTAGTAAAGCAATTAACATTTTTTTTCTGTTAGAACAAGTAGAGAAATGATAAATTACTTCATTTCTCAAATATGAAAAAGAAGTTATCTCTTATTCCAAATGCATTTTACTGAAACATACTGTGTCAAGTCAGAAAAGCTTTTTTCACTTGAAGGGAGAATATTTTTTCGGAGGGATTAATTTTTTTTGAATTTGTTGCGAAGGAGTTTTTCTCCGGTTTATACCTGAAAGAGATTTCAATATCTACATGTATCAGTTAAAATAAAAATAATTCCGATAATTGTTTCATATGTCCTTGATGATGATTTTTTTTGGAATTTTCTTCAATTAATATTTTGGTAAATCGTCGTTTCGTGTCTCAAATTATCGGAAATTTCTGAAAGTATTTCAAATAATCACAGTTTTGAAGTCGTCTTTTAATGCAGATAATTCTATTGTCATCGGCTACAGGTGACACAGTATGCTTGCTTTTTCGAAAATTTGAGATCTATACAAGAAAACAAACATTTTGAACATTTCTCCAGAGTTGATCAACTTCTCAGAGTTCCAAAAGTTGACAACGGAAGTGCTCTCAAACAAGCTTCAGTTGTTATTAACACTTTGAATCAATGGAAAGTTGCTCCTTATGTGGGAATAATGTGTTACGTCACGTGTAAATACTGGTAAACAGTATGTATGTTTAATTTTATCCTTGTACTTTTTTGTGATTTAGGTATTCACAAAGGAACTTGTATTTTTATCGAAAAAGCGCTTGGCAGAGAAAAATAGTTACACTTCCATGTCGGCATCATATTATAATGGAGATAATCTTTGGGGGAGTTTTTGAAGATTTTTGGAAAACGACATCTTGTCCTAATGTTCCAATATTCGTTAGATTCAAAAATTACTGGTACAAAGTTGATCAATCCAATCATAAGAATGGAATGAAAGATGAAACTATAGCAAATAGGTATTTTGACAGAAAAAGAGCTCTGAAGTTGTTACTTTCATTAGCAATTGCTTACAGGTACAAATTGTTGATTAACCAAACAATGAATTAAAATTCATGAAGAATTTGATTCAATCTAAAAACACAGATCCGCCGGTGTTACGAGCTTGTCAGAAAATGATTGAGCACTTGAGGTACTTTAAATGAAGAATTGGCCACAATTTCATTATTTGACAGTATCAGTTGATATGAAGAAAAAAATTGTTGCGACAATTCAAAATCTGGAAAGTTTCTACACCAATCCGTCAATGGTTTGAAATTACTGATCAATATCTTGACACTTTATTGCAAAAAGATTTGAGTGAATTTTTCTCCGATAATTCACTAGAGCTGTTCAAAACATTCGATTTGCCATGCGATTCCTGGGAGAATGATGTTTTAACATGTGGCAGTAATGATTCATATAAGGAATGTTCAGATTGTTTGAATACATTAACTCACCAATGATGTAGCCTGAACGAGCGGTCGCTTTAATTGAGGAATACAACATTTACGTCACAAAAGAACAACTGCAATACTTATTGAAAGTAGTTCGCGAACATCGGCAGAGATATCCCAACTACAATAAGACAACTCTTCAGCAAGATCAATTTCCTGTAAAAATCATTTTTAAATAAAAAAAAATTGAATTTATTAGAAGTAATATATTTTTACTCTGTAATAAATTAAAAAAATCTTGTTTTTCCGTTAACCAACTGTCGCACCCCTACAAACGACAACCCTCAGAAATCGAAACTTGTGCGAACTAAGGATTAACGACGTCTTACCTTTTAACGTGTGATTCCTAATATAAGTCATGAATACATATATGTTGAATAAAACCACCTGTCTGTTGATCTGGATCATAAAAACTTAGAAACACGAGTAACTCATCAAGTCATGTATAAAATTTCAGCTATAATTTCAGCGCAAATTAATAAGGAATATTTTTCAAATAAAATTGCAGCAATTTTTGAGGGCAAAACATGCTAGTATTATTTTTTTGAAACTCTTGACAGCTTAAAAATGAACATTCAGTTCATTTTAAAAGCCTTCAATACTTGAAAATTGAAATTTTTCAATATGTCAAACATAAGACAGGGCCATTGCTAAAATTTATTATTACGTTATGAAATTTACTTACTGTGAAATATGAAATACTTGCAGTTTTAATAGTTGTAAGAACAACTACTGGTATAGTATAAAAACTTGAAACCTTAGAAACTTTTCAATAAACAACATTTAAACAATGTCAACTGTCAAATGATCTGCTATCTATCTTGGATGTATCGAGTGCAAGTTATCATCCTGATTCAACACAACCATCAACTGTTTGGTCTTCGTTTTTCACTTGTAGAAAAAAAGGACGCTACATAAAAGTATGTGTATATTTTTTTGATATTGCATGAGAATTCACTTATCGTTAACTGTATATAAGCTTTCTGATAGCAAATTTTTTAAATTACCTCAGTACTAGAATTGAACAGATTTTTGATTTTCAGTAAATATAGTTATTTTGAAGAACACTGTTTCCTCATCATCCAATCCAGTTGAATTCTCTCATATAAAGATCTTTTCAACTCACCAATGATCACCATGAACCCGCATTCCCATTACAGTAAACCCAAACTGCCAAGTTCAACATTTTTAAAATAACAATCATAGAATTCGTTAATCAATTTAATTGAGCAAAGGGAAAAAATGACAACAATTGTATGCTAATGAAAATGTTATATATTTAAAAGCTATCTGTTTATAAAAACTAATATAAACCTTGAATAAATTACAAGTTAGACTTGCTATAAAAAAAATTTCAATAATACAACTAACTCAGATTATTGAAACTATCATCTGATTTCAATAGTTTTTACCAAACTTTTACCCAATATATAAAAATCTTCAATAACAGCATCCATATTGAATTTTATTTTACCTTCAATAATTTTTCCAGCATTAACACGAGACACTTTGAAATCTTCAATTTCAAAGACTTTTGGACGCCACAATACACCCACTATATTTCCACCATAACTATCATGGAAAAAAATTGCAAATTGTCCATAATTCTCTCTCAATGTCCTTAAATAGATATCCACTGGATTGAAATTCACAATAGGTAGCTTATCATCCTTTGATGCCTTATATTTTTCGACAACTGTTCTTTCTAGGTTCTCAAATAATTGTTCATGTCTTCTTGGATTCAATAGCGGCCTGAGATGTATCAAAACATTATAACCTTCAAAGTTTGGAACAAATAATTTTTTCACATCTATGGCTTCTCGATCGATTGTAACCTTATTCATGATCGCTAAACTTTCTCCAGAAAGTTGTTTGATTCTAAGTAGAATTTCTCTAGAAGGCGATGATTTAGTGAAAACAGAGGCACCTCCATCATAAGGTGTTATAATATACAAGAGGGGTTTGCTTTCACGGTTGCATTGTAATTTACTTTCTAATTCAGAAATCTCTTCATTGGTCAATTCTTCGTTGAAGTTGACTATAACTGAATTCAGATTCCAGTCTAATTCTGATAAAAATTTCAAACATCTAAAGAAAGATATTTGTGGAGTGTTTGGAGGGGAAGTACCGTTGAGATATAATGATGCATTCAGAAGATTTATCACAATATCTGGGATATGATAACTGTCAATCAAATGGGCTCTCAGCCACCTTTTTACGAGGACGGTTCCTGGACCGTAACTGGGATGTATTGACTGGATACCTTTCAAAGCACCAACAATTCTTGGCATAATTCTCAGGATTTTCTCGATTTCAAAACTTTCCTCAGACTCTCTGAAACATATCAAACCATTTTCAGCAGCAACTTTTTTCAATAAACCAATTTCTCTGGGAACATACAAGCGATATCTAAATACCAAACCCTCGTATAAAACATCAATGAAATCGGCGGTTGGTTGTGATATTATGACATGTTCCTTATTAAGAATTTTTGACATTTCTAAGTAGAAGGATGCTTTGATGGCGCGAAGCGCATCTAAATCATTGGGCCACTTTGAACTGTGTTCAAGTTCTATAACACACTCAACTGGTTGGATAAAACGGGGCACCAGGTCCACATTCTCATTGGAAAAAACAATACTGTTTCCTTTTACTGCTGAGCTGTGTTCTGCCTGTAAAATAAAAAAAATTATATTAATAATTACGGTAGTAAAGAAGTGGGAAAAAAAAATTTAGAACAAAGAACTGGTTAATAATATAATGTTATATTTACTCATTCACACAAATCCTCCTATTTATATAAAGAATGCATATAGACATGCACTGAGAAGAAGGGAAATGACTAATAATCAGATGTATAGGGAATCACTATTATGTATTGCTAGAGTCCTGACACAATATACATTTCTAAACATTTTATGGAATTTTAACAAATATTAGCAATTCTGTGTTCCTCAAGTAATTGGTTTTATTCTATTAATAATAAATGATTTACTATCACTGAACGATCACAGCAATTATATTTGCAAAAATAATTTGAAATTTTTTTTTCTTCGAGGATATCCTCTCAGGTGTCCTTATTTCAAAAAAATAATAATATATCGGAATATAATTATACAGCTGCATTTTTTTACTGTTCTAGTCTTTCTATATCTCTTCGACAAAACACAAATGTTACAAAATCGACTCCCATTGAATTTGTGTTGAATACTCTGAATTGGAATATAGTAACTCAATGACCATTTTATGTCACTGATATTCATAAAAAATCATGAATTTATTATCAACTCACTTTGATTCCTTTACTACTTATAACTATAGTCGTTATTATGACACAAGGACAAAAAACGAATTCCATGTGTTTTTGTTTCTTTTAACTTCCATTTAGATTTCAAAATACTCTTACATTCATATACTTGTTTTCAAGAATAATTTCAACAAATTGATGTAAAAGTTGTATATATAACTAGTTTTCTATTAGTAGCTATATTGGTTGAAATACAATTTTTCTATAATACTGGCCATTTTTCTACACTTATAACTATTGAGATTTTCCTATATTGAGACTTTCCATTTCAAATGAAAATTTCATTGAGGAGCTTCAGGAAGCATCGTTTTGATCTACCATAGATCTCATTAGTGGTACTCAGGTGTGTCATGAATGAAACATTTGAAATCAATTTTTCTTAATGGTCCTGCGTAGAAGTGTTCATGATGATTCCTACTGGAGTCCTTGTTTACCTCTGATTGACCTGTTTTTTGCATTTTTTCTCAACAAATGGGGAATTTATTTTTCGTTTTTGGTGCCACACACTGTATAAAAACATGTGTGAGGATACTATACTATTCATCTAATAAATTTTTTCACAAGTATTTTGAATTTTTGGAAATATTTCATGTTTTTCGAGTTGGCTGGCCACCATTAGGTAAGATGCTTTCGCAATTTTAGTCTGCTTCAATATCATTCCTTTCAATATTCTTGCGCGATAAGAATGTGAATTTTTTATTTCTGCGCTTTTTGTTTATTGTGGTGTGATGAATGGTGGAACAAATGTACTTTCAAATCATTATTTTTACATAGTTTAATAATGTAAGATATTTATAAATTTATAATTTTTTTGCATAGGCTTACCTACTAAATAAATAAATGTCTAATGCAGGCATGTTGTATTTTCTGGATTCTGAATGTCAACTAAATATGGTAGGTAAGTTCAAATGATCATCGTTGGAAAAAAAAACTCTATAATAATAATAATAATAGGTCTTTATTCATTTACTGAAACGGAAAAGGCTGAAGATCAGTTGGTTGCATCAAAAGATGCAACCTCTGTTTTTTTTCTTAGGCCATATTAGAGTTCTGTAATTGCTAGTGTCAAATTAATTCAAATGAACTTTATATTCGATTCTATATCTCATATTATTAAGGTAATCGAATTATTTATTAGCTTCAATTCAAAGTAGCCCGCTACAAATTATAAAAGCATAACAAATTATTATTCCCAATGTCTTTTTTGACACGAAACACTGAGAATATTATTTGTTGAAGTTTCTACAAAACTAGTATGAAAAAAAACAAGTTTTTGAAAACTTAATGACAGAAAATATTAACACTTACCTTATAATTGGCGGGGATTGGTGGAAATGCCTCTGTGAAACTGAAAATATCTCCAATTCCTTGAACTTCAGTAATTTTCAATGACATTTGAAGAGATCTCAACTTTTTTCCAAGTTCATCACAAGCCCAAATAATCTTCAAACAAGTTTCTTCATTTGTACCAGAGGGATAAGATGGAATCAAGTTTTTACTTAGTAATACATCTTCTAGTTCATCGTAGTACAGACTGAATTTTACATCCAATTTTTCATTAAAAATGTAGTGCAAGATCTTCTTAATTATATTTCGTTTTCCTTTCATTGTATTGGTTTTGAAATGTACTGCTACATTTGTGCTACCATCTCTAAATCTTCTGTCACTAGAAAGATGTCCCCAAAACTTTCTGAAGTCATCTGCTGATTTGTGATCACTCAAAGCAGGACCCAATTCAAGAAAATTGAATGCTTTGTCTGGATTTAAGTTCACACCAATTAAGAAGTGTTTTATAGAACGGTGATGTAAATCGATTCTAGGCACTGTGAGAAGTACCCTTTCTTTCATAGCTTTCTGGATAAATTTCAACATATGATCAGTTGTTAATAATTCTTCATGTCCTACATATAAAGCCTTTTCTTGATGACTTTTACTGATTTTACTTTCTAAAGGTAGAGACTTTGTCAAATCTATTACCAAGTCATATTGTAGATAGAAGGGATACTTTGTGAGAAACAACTGCTGAAATGAATTTGTTTTATTATCATCAAGAAGTTTAAGTGCTGACTGACATTCTACTTTAATTTTCTTGTATACTTCGAAATTCAAAAAACATGCAACATTATAGCAGCCTGTACAATCTAAAATAACAACATTGAAAAATTTCTTGAAACTATTCAGAACTTCTGACGTAGTATTTGCAATGCTGATAGGTTCATTTTGTAAATCAGTACTTGCAATAAAATTCCAAAAATTTCTTATAACTTGATATGAACTCATGAACCTATTTATTTTTCGTTTAGAAAATAAGTAAACAATTATGTACACAATCAAATTTTCTGTAAATGAACCTTTCCCTTTATTCAATTCATACTGTTTCAACCAGATACAAAGCAGTTTGATACCATCATGAAGATTACTTTGATCTTTCAAAGTATCCTTAATGAACTGGATGTTAACATGTAGAGTTGCATCATGTGCTATAACACTATTGTAATATATAGTAGGACTATTCCTTAAAACTTCATTAGGTATATTCAATTTGAATAAATCCAACTTAACATTGTTTTGTTCAGGTAAAAATCTAACAGGCCTAAAAGTTCCATCAGCTGGTGAAACATAAATTGTTATTATTGTTTTTTCACAAGTATTCGTAGTGAGTTCAATAAGTGGTAAGAGATTTTCTTCACAGAATTTTATGTTCAAAGTTGCAGTCAATTCAGATTTTTTTAAATGCTCAGCAATATATAACAAATAATAATAACGTTTAGTTAAATAACGATTGTTAAGAAAATCTTTTGTAACAAAACAACAAGTGGGCATTATCAAATTGATATCTATCGACAAATAAGGACCTGGTAATGAATTATATTCATACAATCCAAAACATTCAAACGACTCAGGTTTAACAAGTTTAAGCAATACATCTTGATCAGTCTCATAAATTTCCTCGTAGTCAGACAGTTTTGCGAGTAGTTTACCTAGAGCTCCTTTTTTTTTAGTGCTCTTCAGATCGGAGAGCAAAACATCATAACCAGGCATCATATCTAAGAACTGCTCAAAAGACGATATCCATGACAATAAATTCGTTCGCCTTTTATTCTTAATGTTAACTTCGGAAAGCAACTCCTGAATTTGTAATCTAAACAAGTTATTGTTGAACAAATTTTCAGTTTCCTTCAAGCTATTCAATTCTTCAACTGTGGGTGGTTTATACAGTTCACTTCTTTTTTTCTTTTTGGAAGATAATCCATGTTCACTTGCAACTCCTTTTTTTCTTTTTATTGAACTTTTGTTAACCTTAGTAGTATCGGTTTCAGAGTCCTCACCACTGCCAGAGATATCACTTTCAGTTTCATCTGTATACTCATCTGATTCCATAATTGCAAATTTTATTTCAACACAGTCACACAGGAAGCTTCAGTTTTATTTTACACTTATGCTAACGGATATTATTATACTGAAATATAATATCCTACTATAATGAAATTTGGGAACTGGAACATTTTAAACTTTAGTTTTAGGTTATATAAAACTCGTTGTTTCTGTTTCTTCTCTTTTATTCTTGGCCTTGGGGTGCAATCTGCTCTCCAGGGTTGCCACACAATAATAAATATTAATACTAAAATTTAGAAAATTTAGTAACAAATTCAATGATTACATGACTTTTATGGTGTATAACAAAACTTTTATACATACACAGAATAACCAATATAAAAAATGACATGTGCCTCAAACGAATAGGTCCATGGAATAAAACAAGTGTACATTATATATTTCAATTACATGTACAAAGGGCGAAGAATGTTCATTGAGAAATTATAAAATGGGTTTATCCAAATATTGTTACTGAATCTATTATTACCGCTATTGTTGCTATCATCAAAGAAAAAATATAAAACCAGACATACTGACGAAAGAATCATGCGATGCATAGTTGCGGTTTAAAACGTAATAGATTGTATCTATTGAAAACACTTTTCTTACACCGGAACAAAAATATTGTCTCTCAACGTGCGTTTCTCCAACACAGTTAGCATTATTAGGAGTTGACTAAGCCTTAGTCATATCAGTCGATTCATCCTTAAACCGAAATTCGTCAATTTCGTCACAAGTGTTCAAGATGCTTTTACAGATATTCAGTTCAACGTTTCGTCTCCGAGAAATCATCATCGATTTTACTTTTGTTTTTTAAAAATTTTCTTTTTGGGTAATAACATGACTGATGTATCACACATGATGGGAGTTTCCTCAATTCTTAAACTTCATTTGAATGATATGAAATAGTAAAATTTTACAAATTTAACCAATCCTGTAACTCTTACAGTTTCCGATTGTCCCATACTGGCAATCTATAGTTTGGACACATTGTACGCATATGTATTTACAAAGGTTTCTTCAGTTTCTTATTGATGAATAATGAAGTTACCTGAGTGACGCCATTCTACAAGTTTTTTATGTACCCCCATGATATGGGTATTGAATGAAAGGATTTACTGAAAAAAAAATGAACAATAACATAACGTCACTGTAAATCCAATATGGTGAACTGCCGAAGATAGCGGACTGGTTTTTTTTATGCACCACTCAAGATATGGCTATCAAATGAAAGTATTCGCTGAGAAAAAAATCAAAAATAAAATGACGTCACTCTGAATCCAATATGCCAGACTTCCAAAGAATGTGTACCATTATTTTTTATGTACCACCACGATATCTATGATATGGATATCAAATAGAAGGTTTCAAAAGGGATAAATCAAAATGGCAGAAAATAAGATAGCCATACTATCAATTTAAGAGAGTTATGACTTGACAAATGACAAAGATTTTGGTAGTGTGTTTGAAAATGGTTGACAATGTTTCATGGTGAATTTTACTAGTTTGGACTTCCACTGTCTAATAGATTTCCAATATGATTTAAAATATCTGAAAGAACAAATGAAATTGAAATGAATAACTGAAATATCAATTTTATCAAGCAATAAAACGTGATATGAAATTACAATAAAACGAATAAAATAATCAAAATAAAAAATGAAAATGACCACAGAGTAAAAAGAAATAAAATATGCAAAAAATTAGGAATTGAACAGTTAATGAAATCGAAAAAATAAATAACATGATTTCAAACCAAGTTACTTCACGACCTTTCGATTGTCAGTACCCACAATCGTCTTCTTTTTACTATGTGGTCATTTCCATCTTTTATCTTGATTATTTGATTCGTTTTATTGTAATTTCATTTCACGTTTCATTGATTAATATAATTGATATTTCAACTATTTCATCAGTTCGGACTTCCATTGTCTAATATAATATAAATTGATTTGAAATCCCTGAAAAAAATGATTAACCGAAAATAACAATTTTATTAAACAAAAAACTGTAATTACAAAGAAATAACATACAAGCAACAACCAAAAAAATGAAAAATTGAAATATGAGAGCTGGAAATTAACAAAAATGAAAAATAAAATAAGATTCCAAACCAAGTTATGTCACGACGTTTCGATTGTTAGTATCCACAATCGTCTTCGGGTGATAACTGTTTTTATTTATTTTTTGTTGTTGCTGGTATGTTATTTCCTTGTAATTAAAGTTTTTTGTTTGATAAAATTGCTATTTTCGATTAATCTTTTTTAATTTTTTTCAATTTCTTTTTTCAGGGATTTCAAATCAATGTATATTATATTAGACAATGGAAGTCCGAACTGATGTGATATTTCAACTATTCATTTCAATTTTATTTAAATAAATTGGTGGATGGTAGCCGTTACTACGTGGTAGGAAATCATTATGAAGAAACAAGAATTGAAACTTTCTATGTTTTTACCACTTTCATTTGTAACTAACGTTACTGCAGTTTCGTCCTATAAAGACATTTTCAAACTTATACATTAAACTAAAAATGATTGATTTCATTAGCCCTCATATAACACCACTGTAGGTATTAATAACAGAGGTACTTAACTTAATTGAGTACCTGAATTTTGTTCACTTGTGACAATTTACTTGAAACCGGTGAGTAAACTAGATCGATTTGATCATTTAACAGGTCTCACCCGCAATGTTTATGCTTATGAATTACCAAGGATCCCAAATAATTAACTTTGCAACCCTTCTTTGCATAGTGCAAAAGTTCCGTATCATTTAGATTAGGGAACTCGTGGTTGCATGCCAAGGAATGGTTTGAAAACGTCGAATCATTTTTACCTAGTCTGAAGAACATTTCATGTTCAGCATATCGTTTTGAGAAATTTCGACCACATTGTCCCACATAAACATTATTACTCTACGGACACTAAAGCTCATGAATTCCAGATTTCTCCAACTTGTCCATTTTATCTTTGGCATTGAAAAGGAAATCAGAAAACCTGGCATGTGGTCTGAATGCCACTTCCACATTGTTTTTTTCTGAAGAAACCCGCAATTATCTCTGTTCTTTTACCAAAATATGTTAGAGTTAACCCATTTCTTGATTTCTGATTGTTTAATCTGTGGGTATATCAATCTGTAAGTGAATTTATGGCTTTGTTTTCAGACTAACTTCTGGATTGTAACTGCGTTGAAACCATTATTATGACCTATCTGTACTTGCGTGAAGTTAGCGTCGGACGCCAGCGTCCAAATCTAGCGTCCGCCCTCCACTCCTGGGTCCGATTTACACCAAACACCAAACACTTACACATTAGATGTTTAATTTTTTCCTTCTTAAACTGGCTTGTGTCCCCGAATACGACTCAATGAAAAATGTTAATGAAGAAATGGCAAACTGGACTCTGAATTTTCAGCCCTCCAAAATACCGGGAACCAACAAAAGAAACACCCCTTCCACATTGGATGTTTAATTTTTCCCTCTTAAACTGGCTCGTGTCCCCGAACACGACTAACTGGAAAATGTTAATGAAGAGATGATATACTGAACTCTGAATTTCCATCCGTCCAAAATACCGGGAACATACAAAAAAAACACCCCTCCCAAATTAGATTTTTAATTTTTCACGTCTAAAACTGGCTCGTGTCCCCGAATACGACTGAATGAAAAATGTTAATGAAGAGATGACATACTGAACTCAGAATTTTTAGCCGTCCAAAATACCGGGAACAGAGAAAAAACCACCCCTTCCACATTAGATATATAGTTTTTTCCTCTTGAACTGGCTCGTGCCCCCGAACACGAACGAACTGGAAAATGTTAATGAAGAGATGATATACTGAACTCTGAATTTTCTGCCGTCCAAAATACCGGGAACATACAAAAAAACCATCACTTCTAAAATTTTTAGTAGCCAGCTACTCCCTGAATCTTTTGATATAAAGAAATATTGTAACGATTTATAACTCTTACTATTTTAATTTTCATCGGATGTTTCTAACTTGTGCCCAATATGTGGTAAATTCGAAGGTGCAGAAAATATGAATTGGGTAAACTGTGATCTTTGTAGAAGATGGATTCATTTGGAGTGCGATACAAGTCAATTCACTTTCATTGAGCCTTTAGATACTCCAGGGGTTATATATTATTGTCCTATTTGCACCAGTAATTTCAATGTGAAGTCGTATTTCAAATAAGAGCTTCAGGATATCAAATCAAATGATGTCATGAAGAAAATTGACTATTACAGGTCTAATATTTATTTGGGCAATTATGTTGTTGCGCGGTATAACTGTACTTATATATATCGTATATTTCCAACACTGTCTTCTTCATAATCGCTGATCTTTTGCAAGCTGATTCCCAAAATCATAATGTAAAAATATGGAACATATTTAAAACAGAACTAATGTTTTTCAAACTCAACTCACTAGATACAGAGTTTTTCGGAGATGATATTTTCAAAGACCTTCATGGAAAAATTAATCTGATACCTATCTTGCATAACAGACACTTCACGCTAATGGTCGTCAATTTCACAGATAATACATTCTCATACATCGATCCAAACGGAGCAACGAAAACATATCAGTACAATATGTTCGAGAAATTCAGGAAATTCATTACCATGTTAAATGATCATGTAATAAATCCTTACAACTTGACTGAATTCAAAATAAAAAACGAAAATCATCCCAAAAAATCTGACTCTTAAAATTGTGGAATATTTATTTTGCACTTCATCAATTGTAATCTCAATAAAATTGAGTTAAATAGAAGTTTTGACTCCGATAATTACCGTTTAGAATATCTATTAACGAAATCAGAAAAAATGATTCCGTATTGTTTGATATGTGGTCGATACGTGGATGAAACAGAAAAATGCTTTGAAAGCAAAACGTGTAATAGGATTTTAGAACCGAAATGTTTCCGATTATACTATGAGTTTGATGAATGTTGTCCTTCATGTATGTCTGCAAAAAAGAATGATGAATTGTGAATTGAAGAGGAGTGGAGTGAATAGATTCAACTCAGAAATAAACTATACAATCACTATAATCTGCGCAATCTCTGTTCAAAACTGTATCTTGAAATTCCATTTACATTCAAATTCAGATTCGGTTGATATAAGAAACAAAAAACGTATTGATGAAAGAAAATATCATTACTTTCAGTCATCTGAGCTCAATTATCAAAACTATTGAAAAAACAGCATTTTTCAAGTCATAATCACTTCATACAATTAACTGTACGCATAAATAGAAATATCGGGCCAGATCACGTTTCCAATTGAAACTGAACCATGTCTGAGAGTAATATTCAATGTGGAAGGGATGTTTTCTGTATGTTCCCGGTATATTGGAGGGCTGAAAATCCAGAGTTCAGTATCTCATCTCTTCACTAATATTTTCCAGTTAGTCGTATTCGGGGACACGGGCCAGTTTAAGAGGTAAAAAATTAAACATTTAATGTGGAAGGGATGTTTTTTTTTGTTAGTTCCCGGTATTTTGGAGGGCTGAAACTTCAGAGTTCAGTGTATCAACTCTTCATTGACATTTTCCAGTTAGTCGTTTTCGAGGACACGAGCTAGTTTAAAAGGGAAAAAATTAAACATCTAATGTGGAAGGGGTGGTTTTTTTGTATGTTCCCGGTATTTTGGAGGGCTGAAAATTCATAGTTCAGTATATCATATCTTCATCAATATTTTCCAGTTAGTCGTATTCGGGGACAAAAGGCAGTTTGAGAAGGAAAAAATTAAACATCTTATATGGAAGGGGTGGTTTTTTTCTATGTTCCCGGTATTTTGGAGGGCTAAAAATTCAGAGTTCAGTATATTATATCTCCATCAACATTTTCCAGGTAGTCGTATTCGGGGACACAAGCCAGTTTGGGAAAGAAAAAAATTAAACATCTAATGTGGAAGGGGTGATTTTTTGTATGTTCCCGGTATTTTATACGGCTGAAAATTCAGAGTTCAGTATATCATCTATTCATTAACATTTTCCATTCAGTCGTATTCGGGGACACGAGCCAATTTAAGAGGGAAAAAATTGAATATCTAATGTGGAAGGGGTGGTTTTTTTGTTGGTTCCCGGTATTTTGGAGGGCTGAAAATTCAGAGTTCAGTATATTATATTTTCATCAACATTTTTCAGTTAGTTGTATTCGGGGATAAAAGCCAGTTTGAGGAAGAAAAAATTAAACATCTTATGTGGATGGGGTGGTTTTTTTGTATGTTCCCGGTTTTTGGACGACTGAAAATTCAGAGTTCAGTATATTATATTTTCATCATCATTTTCCAGTTAGTCGTATTCGGGGACACAAGTCAGTTTGAGAAGGAAAAAATTAAACATCTATTATGGAATTTAGAATTTAGAAGGAAATATGGATTTTTTTGTATGTTTCCGGTATTTTAGACCGCTGAAAATTCAGAGTTCAGTTTATCATCTCTTCATTAATATATTCCAGTTAGTCGTGTTCGGGGACACGAGCCAGCTTAAGAGGGAAAAAACTATATATCTAATGTGGAAGGGGTGGTTTTTTCTATGTTCCCGGTATTTTGGACGACTAAAAATTCTGAGTTCAGTACGTCATGTCTTCATTAACATTTTCCATNCTGAGTTCAGTACGTCATCTCTTCATTAACATTTTCCATTCAGTCGTATTCGGGGACACGAGCCAGTTTAAAACGTAAAAAATTAAACATCTAATTTGGGAGGGGTGTTTTTTTAATGTTCCCGGTATTTTGTACGGCTGGAAATTCATAGTTCAGTATATCATATCTTCATCAACATTTTCAAGTTAGTCGTATTCGGGGACACAAGCCAGTTTGAGAAGGAAAAAATTAAACGTCTAATGTGGAAGGGGTGGTTTTTTTATTGGTTTCCGGTATTTTGGCGGGCTGAAAATTCAGAGTCCAGTATGTCATCTCTTCATTAACATTTTTCATTGAGTCATATTCGGGGACACAAGCCAATTTAAGAAGGAAAAAATTAAACATCTAATGTGGAAGGGGTATTTTTTTATGACCCCACTATTTTGAAGTATATCAGTATATCATTTCTCTGATAACAGTTTTCACTCGGACATATTTGATGACAATTCACAGTTTGGGAAGCGAACTATTCCACTCAAGTGATGGGAGTTCATTTTTCTATGACACCGATAATTTTCTGAAAATTACCCATTCAATGAATCATTATTCTGATGAATTTTTCATTTGGTCATAAATTCCACCAGTTGTAACCCAAAAGTGTTTTATATCTATCACATTCACGTCAATGTCTCCTCGTCATTATAATACAAATTATAAAAGCTGCATACAGTATAATGATATTTTCAAGTTTGAAGTCGATTCTAAGAGGAAATAATCATGTTAAAAATATTGGTTGCCAAATAAGCGATCTTTATGAATCAATATTCTACTAGTTGTGTGGTGTAAATCGGACTCAGGAGTGGGGGGTAGGTTTGAACGCTGGCGTCCGACGCTAACTTCACGCAAGTCTTATCTGTGTAATTATTTTAATTTCCCTAGCTAAATTGTTAGCAGACAAAGGCAGTGAGAATGCTATGTGCAACATTGAATTGTAGGCTGCTAATTTATGACTGTCTGGATGGAAAGAATCACTTGGGATGGTATTGTCTGTATAGCTAGATTTTCTGAATACACAGAACTCAAGAAACAGGCGAGAATATCGTCTACATATCTGTACCAAAAATGAATATGTTTTTTACCCAGGTCGGAATTAGGCAAAAACGTCAGTCATTTCTGAGAATTTGGGGCCTACTATTTTGGAATTATACTCACTTCTAACCTGTGCAGTGGCGGACTTAGTCATTGGCTGCAGCCTTAGTCTATTGCGAAAAGTATGCTAATTAAAAGTAGATTATTTCTGATGATTAATGAGAAATGAAATTAAATTTACAAATGAAAAGTTTTAAAATACTATATAGTTTGAGTGTTTGATAATCACATTTGAGAATTTTTATGCTATTAACAACCTTTTGTTATTTGATTAATAGGTACCTTAAAATAAAATAGGGTTGGGCAAAGCCGGCACTTCTACAAAGTATTTTTTAAAGAGTGCAATAGGTTGATGGTATGTTTCTAGAAATGATTTTTGTCAAAATAACTGAAAACGTCCCCAAATACACTAGGTTCAAGATTTACTGTCATCATCGATATGGTAGGTACGTTATTTTTTTCTAGTTTTTAAATGCCTTCTCCAAATTTATTCTTGAAATGTAACATAACATGTAAGAGCGTATTTATTTAAGTACACAAGAATTAAATTTTATTATATGCAGTATTTCGAAGTACCCAAAATCTGCATTTTTCGTTTTCGTGACACATAAATGAATAAATAAACTGTAAACTACAATAATGTAGAATGTAGGTATGGGTAGGTATACTGTGCTGGCATCGGCATAAGCCATGAACAAAAGCGGGTTCATATGCCATGAAGCTCTTCATGGTGGGAGGAATTCATTGCTTTGAACAACTGATGCGGCTGTGGTTTCTTCTTTCGTGTTGTTTGTATTACAAGTGAATTTCAGTAGAACTAGTCGGCTCGACAGTCGGAACTCGGCAGTCAGTTAGTAAGTACCGAGAGAAACTCCAACTGAAGTATTATATCGTGTCGCTTGCCCATTGTGCCGTGTTTTATGTGAAGTGATTCGTTTAATTTCGAAGTCAGTGATAATACGATATATTTCACCTGGATTAAAAGTGGTTTCGTGTTCCAGCTCGTTCAGGTAAACTTTGTTCTGCTTTTTATATTTTCTCTCTAAATAATAACCTAACACAACAATCAGTCGAAAAAGGTACAGGTACTTTAATCATTTATTGGTATTCAATAACATTAGGTGAGAACAAAAGTCATAAGGTAGGTACGTACTTTACGGTTTTGCATTTATCAATAAACAAAATATTTTTAGAAAGTTGTGAATATTCATGACAGTCTTTGATCATTTGACACCTTTGTCCATGTTATTGGTGTGGAATCACCCGTTTCTTTCACGAACTGGATGGGCTCGAAGATACCAAAAAAATTATTAATATTGAAAGTCTCAAGAGCTATGTTTCAGTGACATGTTTTAGCAACAACGTAAAGATAAAGAGCAAGATAATTTTCTTAAGGGATATAGTTCGTTTTGAAAACAAATGATCCTTGAACAAAAACTACTTAGATATTAGTACCTACTCGTATTCTTCGATAATGATAAATGAAGATAAATGTTTTTGTAGTTATATTATAGGTAGCCAGAAAAGGTGCAAGTCGTGAATAATACTTTATTCTTGAAACATATTATTATGTCACGTTTGTTCTTTATGATTACATATTATTCATGTGCTTGACCCTCTCAATAAATAATAAGTGTGTCTCATATAATTGGAATCACCAGTTTGCTCTAAGATAACAGATAATAAAAATGAAAATGAAATTGGTTATACCTATATGAAGATATGTGACATATTTTAGCAACAATGTTCCATGGAGCAAGAAAAGTATTTTCTTGAATAACTGGAAATATAGTTACCTACTCGAAATTTTGTTCCTATAGCAGATTTTTCTTGTTTTTTTTTGTAATTAGTGGGTTCTGATAGCTTCACTTCGTTCAGTTGACAAAAGTAAATCGAATTCTTGACTCACTGCACATACTGTGCATATTTTCAATTTTCTCTGGAAATGAGGATGACGTAATGATAAAATCTCATATAATAGTGCTTCAATTAGGTCCTTTATTACCTGAAAAATATGAATGAATGATAAAACCATTGCGTTTTATACTTAGTGGATGAATTAAAATGGTTACCTACTTCAGTTTTCTCTCCAGTAAAACGAAAAGATAATTATTTATGATGTATATGAAGCCAAAAGTATTCGTGTACCATTAAAACAATTATGAAATGTGTGGAAAAAAAACACAAACTTAGTAGATTTGTACATTCATTTCATTTAAAGAAAGAAATACCTCGACAAAATAATGGAAGCCTTGAAAGAAGACCAAAGTGAATGAAATTATTTGTCAGAGAAGACATTACCCAAGACAGATAAGAGAATTTTGACGTGAGAATGGAAATATTTATTATTTGGCGAAACTTGGCCTAACGAATGATACCGTTGGAAAGATGTGGCAAGATAAAAACAATACAAGTTCACGTCAAGCATTGGAAGTGGTGCTGATGGTTTTGTTGAGGGCGGGGTTTTGCTGATGTTTGAGTCAAAGCATTCTGGCAAATACCATGAGGACATGAACGGCGATGTGTGTGAAGAATATTTTGAGTAAATGTTAGACCTCATTCAATCGAACTCTGTGATTGTGATGGATAATGCTAGTTATCATTCCAGAAAAGTTGAAAGAATACCAAATAGATGATGCCTGGATCAAATAGGGGATACCTATTTGTGGTTTCGATAAAAAAGCATATCATTTGATGCAATTATGGTTAAAAAAGAACTATTGTCCATTATATGTCCAAATCAAGCTCGTTTCAAAGAATATATAGTCTACAACATGGCACAAAGACTAAATATTATTATTCTGCGTTTGCCCCCTTATCATTGTGAACTTAATTCTATTGAACTCGTTTGGACTCACAAAACTTTGTTTGAGCACACTGTTAGCGTTATGCATTCATAATGAGCATTTATTAATTTTTACTATTAGGAAACAAAGTATAGCTCTGAAATAAATGTAAAAATACAAACTAGTCCTGGAGTAAAATATTAGCAATTTCGTGCAATACATGTAGTGATAACATTTAGGAATGCAGGCAAAAGTTTGAAACTGCATATGATCATTAATGCAGATACGATCACTGCAGACCAGAATTTGGCATAGCAGATCTTTTGCAGTTCAGCAATGACAACTCCTGGCTGATTTTGCTATCTCAGATGGTACCTCAGTGACCTTTACCTGCCACCTGACATTTTCAGTGATATCTTATTTCTCATCGTAACAATAATTATTTCACTGGCTTCTTAAGAGTCCTCAGAAAAATTCACAATGAGAGAAACTAGGATATTGGCATTTTTAATTTCTTTAATCCCTCTATATGTTTGGTCATCTACACCGAGGTCCATATATAATCCTCTCTCTGGCGGTTGCCTGAAGTTTTTTTTCAACCCCAGTCGTTTAATCCCATATGTATGTGAATTCAGTAATGGTTTGTCTATCACTTTCCAAGACTCGTGGGGGCTTTCCTGTTCTGAAAGACGGTAAGGGTAATTTCATCTGGTTCAGAGAGCTGATCTCTGGGTGATATTGTTTTCACGCCAACCCTTTTATCTGAGCTTTTCCATATCGGAACCATAATGAGTGAACCATCAATAATCTTCACTTTATTAACACTCTAATAAAACATACATTTAATCATACTCTAATATTTCTTCCATTATTTTTTCCGTTTTTGTATTTCGATTATCTACTGGTTATTTTGATAATTTTTTCGCAGAAATTCAAGTATTCTTGGTAATTATCATTATTTAATCAACCGCTTTGTGAACAATGGGATGATTTTAACGGTAGAATTTTCGATTTTATCTGGGTATCCCCGGTTTTGTACTAGGAATCGCGCCCTTAAATGTAAGTCCTCGTTAACCCATAACATAACAATTTTTATAAACTTTTGCATTTTTTCATGTTTAAAAACTAATTATCAAAATATTGTGTAAATAACACGAGAAGTTAACTGAGATAACCTGAAAATCATTGTATACCAACAAAGATTTGACACATTTACTAATTACCAATGTAGAAAATGTTCCACATATTTTGACCACATGTGGTTGTGAAAGTTCGTTAACATAGAAACTTCATGTACAAATGCAAAAACCGAGTATTTTACGAGGTGCTCTAAGCTTAGTCAAAAGTTATTACGACTGATGGTATGTAACTGTTTTGACTATCAGAGAAAGTACAATGATATAAAAACACAATCTGATAGGTAGTGTGGAAATGACCTCTATGAAATTAGCAAGGTTTCTTGGAGTAAAATTAATGAAATATAATTTTTAATTGTAGGGACTTGGTCGCGAAGAAAAAATAATTGTCGATTCCCTATTTTTTCATAAGAGTAGCTCTGATAAAACTCAAATGTTGAAATTTCTGTTACCATGTATTGGTCAAATAATTGTAGCTCATTCCATATAAAAATTTTCTAAAAAGCATTTTTTCTGAAATTTTTTGCATTTTTCGTGTCATACCTTGTGCTGTAAGAATATTTTGCACCATGTGACAACACCGCAACACACACATATTCGATTTTTTTATAAATGATTATGAATGAAAGAAACCAAAATCTCCGTTGCAAAAATCGATATTGTGAAAGAAGAATTATGAATTTTATTCAGTTAGCGATGTATAGGTAGGTACCTATATTTCTGTAATGTTTTTACATTGAGCAACGTAGGTATCGTCTTTCGACATTAAATGAAGAAAAAGCAGCCAGAACACGAGTGGTTCTTTTAATATATACACAGACTATCACAGAATTTCAAAAACCCGGAATGGCATCAACCACTATTTGCCTGGATTTCTTTTGCAATAGAAAATCTTCAACCTGATGCGTTCAAAGTATAAATTCTGTCTAATATTTCAATGAATTTTCAACTTCAAATTTCATTTTATGAATTTGTTAATACTTGTGTAAACAGGAATGTGTAATATCACCAATAAAGATTAATACTAATTATTATTAAATGATGATAATAATTATTTATATTATTGAAAATTGCGCCAAACCGAATGAGCACTGTGTTCAAGTGATCATTGGGTTTGAGAATCATGTACCCTAAAAAGGCGCAATGAGCTAAGAATGACTGCCTTCTTCATTTATCCGGGTATGATTTCTGTCTCAGTGCAAAAATTCGGCGTGATCTTGAGATTCAAGAGTACAGAGGGCATAATTTCACCAAGGAATCCAATAATATGAAGAATCATATCAATAGAGTGGTCTGGATAGAGACTATGAAGTTCGAAGAGAAAATCTCGATATTGCTTTCATTTTCCTCCTCTTGCCGGTGGATATTCGTCTCACTCGGAGCTGTAAACACCACCACGAGCATCGTCTTGCTCTATTGGTCGAGAAGAACTACATAAGGCTCATCACCTTGTATGAACCTGAAGAAGAAATTGCACATCTATACACAACACAAATGAAAAATTTCATCTGTGTGCATGTGCGAATTGGAAGTTCTGATAAATCCCTACGCTCAAACCTGAACTCATGATTACCGTTCGCTGGAATAGTTCCTTATTGGTTCTGAACAAACCAAAACACTTTGGGGTGATAGCAGAACTGATCTAGAGGAAACAAAACAACTTTTAATGGCTACGCAGAACCAAAACAAACCTCACCATTGAGTCTCAGAATTGTGTGCTATTGATATGAAAATTTCTGTACCAGACGAAAATTAATTTCCGTCATGTTTTTGTCTCAGATATATCAGAAATTATTTTTTTCTAAACGAAGTCGACTCTGAAGTTGGTTAGCAAAGTTAATTAACTAATTTAACCGAAGCCTACGTATAAATAGTAAGAAATTGATTTTACGAATATTGAAACTTTTAATCAATTAACAATCATGTATTCTATTCGGCGAGAGCGACAAAAAACGAATATATAATTCCGATGAAATGATTTCTATTGTCTCTGAACGACACGCCTAAGTATCAGTACTTCGGCATTAATACATGTCCAGGAAGTGATTTATAACGCCTGAATGTTGCAGATGATGTTTTCTGTTAAAT